CTTTCTCTAAATCCACAAAGACACAATGCAGCTCCTTCTGACCATCTCTATACTTCTCCATTAACATTCTCAGAGCAAAAATTGCATCAGTAGTGCTCTTTCTGGGCATGAAGCCACACTGCTGCTCACAGATATCCACTTCCTTTCTTAACCTAGAAGCCACTATTTTTTCCCATAGCTTCATTGTGTGGCTCATCAACTTTATACCTCTGTAGTTGCTACAACTCTGCACATCACCCTTGTTCTTAAAGATCTGCACTAGTACACTTCTCCGCCATTCCTCAGGCATCTTCTTACTCTCTAAAATTCTGTTGAACAAACTAGATACAAACTCCACTGCTGTCTCTCCTAGACACTTCCACACCTCTACAGGTATGTCATCTGGACCAACAGCCTTTCCACTCTTCATTCTCCTCAGAGCCTTCCTCACCTCATCCTTTCTAATCTTTGCTACTTCCTGCTCTACAATATTCACCTCTTCCCCCCTTCTTTCCCTCTCATTTTCCTCATTCATCAGTTCCTCAAAATACTCCTTCCATCTTCTCTGCACACTCTCCTCACTTGTTAGCACCTTTCCATCTCTGTCTTTAATCGCCCTTATCTGTTGCACATCCTTCCCATCTCTATCTCTCTGTCTCACTAATCTGTACAAGTCCTTCTCACCTTCCCTCGTGTCTAACCTGGCATACAACACATCATATGCTTTCTGTTTGGCCACTGCCACCTCCCTCTTCACTCTACGCTGCACTTTCTTGTACTCCTGTCTACTGTCTTCTGTCCTCTGTCCTTTCTATGTGTCACTTCTTTTTAGCTAGCCTTTTCCTCTGAATGCTGTCTTGTACTTCCTCGTTCCACCACCATGTTTCCTTATCTTCTTTCCTCCATCCAGATGACACACCTAGCACCTTCCTACCTGTCACCCTGATCACTTCTGCTATAGTTTCCCAGTCATCTGGAAGTTCTTCCTGACCACCCAAAGCCTGTCTCAACTTCTGTCTGAATTCCTCACAACATTCTTCCTTTTGCAACTTCCACCACTTGGTCTTCTTTTCTGTCTTTCCTCTCCTCTTCTTCCTGACCACCAGAGTCATCCTACAGACCACCATCCGATGCTGTCTGGCTACACTTTCTCCTACCACCACTTT